TTATTTCTCTAAATAAACTTTAATATATATATATATATATACAATCTAAGATAAATATTAATCTCCATTAGAATCCATTAATAATCAATAAATAATAATTTATAATTTTTAAAAATATTATATAAATAGCTTACAAATTTTTCAAATCTTTCTTAATAGCTTGCTTTATCTTATTTAATAGTAAAACATAAATACGATCAATATGAATTAAATTTTCTAATTATAATTTTTTATATTCTTTCTTCTTTCAACGATATTAATGTTTTCAACTCGAAATTCAGTATATAAGAACTTTATTATTCAACACCATTTATTTTCTTAACAGCTACTATTGCTAAATGCAATGCATTATGTATGAAAGCGAGTACCATTGTTTCGGAAAGGATAAATCCAACTATTAGATGAAAGTGGTAGCTATTGCGGAGAAAAACGACTACTTCTTTTCATTAAAGTAATAGATCATAGAATAATAGCAGGATAAATATAATTATACATATAATGTACCCAATGTACAAAAATATCATTATGGAATTTTATGTTTACTCTGTGACTGCGTACGTGCGTGCGTATATGTGTTATATTCTATATTACAATTTATGTTAATTTAAGTAGAATATGAACAATCTCCAAAATGAGTGATAAACATACAAAATAACTTACACAATACATCATAATATTTTTAACCTGATTTAGTCATTTATAACAATTTTACTATGCAGCATTGTAATTGATCGATTATAATCCAACAACGTTATCTATATATCTTAGCGTCATTTAATAAATTTGGTCACATGACCAATGCAATTGGTCAATTCTTCTTCCTCTATCCGAGATCTCGGATGGATTGCTATATCGAACACAAGGCTTTAACTTAAGAGCACTTGCATAATGCATAATGTATAATGCATAAAAAATGAATCAATAAAAATCCTTTATTTCCTTCCTTTCCATGAAATAAAGTACTCTAGTTGGATTTCCTTATGCCTTATGTGTTACGCTTTATATAAGAATCTGTGCTCTTGAATTTAAGCTCTATCAGTATTCAAATCATTAATCGCTGCGTTCAACAAAACACGACAGTTTTGCAACCGTTTTACGATTTTCAGCTGAGATAGGATAATTCTTCTAGATTTAAAAGTATAATCTAATCAGTGCAAAGAAAACTTCCAACAGTTGCAAAATAAACGTTCTGCTAAACGTAATTATTTACGTTCTAACTAAATTCATATGTTACTCACTTCTACCTTCATCGAACATTTCTCTATTGTATAAATATTCTCTTTAGTAATACACACTTTAAAACACTGTGCAGACGTGACGGCACTGCAAAAAAATATGCCAAGTAGTTGGATATAGCAGTATTATAATGATATAGAACATCTAACTCATCATATAACTCTAATGCAAGATTTGTCCTTATATTACATACAACATATTAACATTAAAAGTACACTTATTTCAGGCTCATAAAATTTCATGATGAAGACACGGATTGCAGAAATGTCCGATATGGCGTTATTTCACAGAAGAAAGATACACTTGTAATGTAAAATTTGAGATAAATCTCTTTCAAGTGGATATTTAGTATGCAATTTAAAGGATCATCTTAAACGTAAGCATTCACAAATAATAGAAGAAATACAAAAAGAATTTGAACATTCGTGGATATCGACACATTTCATATCAAATACGTCAAATGATAAATTATAATGCAAGATTTGTTGTTACAAGTTTGTATTGAAAAATGATATAGATGATTTAGCGTGCCATTTGATCAAGCATGGCTTAAATAAAACTCAAAAAAGTGGAAAAAATAACATACAGAGATACGAAAAGAAAAAGTTGAATATGGCAACATTGTAATAAATTTCAGAATCGTAAGGCACAATGTAACATTTGCCATAAAAATTATTCTCAGTACAATTTAAAGACACTGGAAGCACATTTATTTTATGTTCATCAAATATGTCCTGACGAAGAAATAAACAAACAAAATAAGTGATTTAATATGGCAATATTTCAAAAAAGAAGGAAGATTAAGGTTTCAACAGTTTTCGATACTAAATATTCGACTTTTTAAATATTTAAATAATAAGAATTCTAGTTTTAATGCGATTATAATATGTACTTCAGTAAGAAATTTAATTTTGTAGCACTAATCACAACTACATATTCTTTTTAATCTGTTATTTATTTCGTCTATATTTGCAGATTCAATTTTGAATAGGATACAGTAGAGATTTACAATAGATTTTGAAAACAAATATGTGAAGAACAATATGTGAAAAAGCATCAGCAGTTTCAACTAAATTGTTAATTGAAATTATTGAATAAACTGGCACGTTTGACGAAATAAATATCAACTTTCCAATAAGCGTACTATTTGTACGTATTAATTGTATTATTAATTATTTATAATGTTAATTATTATGTAAATCACACACACACAAATAGTTGAATTTTTTCTACATATTAATTTTTTATACATTTGATATAATGTTTGTATTAGGACTATAACTATCCAAATATTATATTACTCAAATCATTCGAAATAATTATTGTTACTCAAAAACATTCGAATTACTTGAATAATTCAAATATTAATGTCCAAAGAATAAAATCTGAAGATTTATTATTTTAGAGGAGCTATTAATTTCGAGAATAGAAAACAAATTGTAAAATATGATATGTCGCAGTTTAAGGATTCAATGGTCCAGAGAATTAATCATAAAAAATTAACGGTGAACTAATATTCGAGTATTCTAATATTAAAATTTGAATAACATATGTACAATATAACATTTGCTTGGTCTGTTTTACTTATTTTACATAAAATATGCCATTGTACATATATAAAATTTATATTGTAGAAATAACATTTTAATGAATCTTGTACTATATATACATATAGTATATACATGCATGTGCGTGTGTGTACATATATTATACATACATATACATATGTAATGCATATAATAGATAATTGATTTTACATATGTATAATTTAAATCGACTAATGAAATATATTTTAAATAGTGTATTTGCATTGTTTTTGAAAGTTGATACATTGATTAATTATATAAGAATAAGTAGCGCAATCAATCGAAATATGTTTTTATTATATAAAGGGTGGGCCATCTATTGGTACGTTTTTGAATAATTGGGGTGACCGAATGGCATACTGTAAGGCCAGTAGAGGGAGCCACATGAACGAAATCGTTTTTCATTCTTGACGCGGATACTTTTAGCTTCACAACAAAAAAAAAATTAATAAAAAATATCAATGTATGCTCATTTGATCGCATTTTTAAACGTACCAATAGATGGCCCACCCTATATAACAAAATGGTTTTTGTTGTATATCTCTTCTAATATTTTATGTACAATACTTAGCGTCGCGATCCTACCGCGTCGCTTGATTTATAATATTTGCTTTGTAATATTTGTTACGTAGTTCATTCTTTTGTATGTTTCAAAAAGTCCTATCTTTATGATAATAATTAATAGATTACTAAATTGTTCCACGTTTATCGCTAAACATGGTAAAATTTTTAATAAACTTTGTGGTAAAATATAAAGAAATATATGCAAAATAGCATCGATAATGCTTAAAAATTTTTACAATAAACAGCAGTTTCTACATTCTTATTCATGCGTCTCTAGATTAATTTGATCCCTACACGCATTTTTACAAATTAATAAAGATAAATAGGTACTACATGTAAAAGTATGCAAATTATAAAAAAAGAGCATATCGCTTTGCGTTTTTTCAAATAGGCAAAATGTTTTCTAAATAATTGCCCTTTTTAAAATTTCTAATTTCTCTTTATAGATTTTTTTTATTATCTTCATGTAATACCTAAGTAGTAGAGCAACGCTTGTAAGACACTAAAAAAACGATTACAGCGCTTTGTTAACGCTTTGTAAACGCTGTGCTACTTGGGTAACTTTTGAAGTATAATATGTAAGTGGATTACTATATACTTATCCGGAAGAAATTAGCAATTTCTTCTTCAAATGAGAAATGAAGATTAGATAAAAATAAATCAATCGAGAGTCTGAAAAGAAAGGAGATGTGGACAAGAGTATTCCATTAACGCGGGCAATACGGAGTTCTGAATCACATCAAAGTACTTATCACGTAATTCAAAAGAAAAATTTCTTCTATAAATCATACCCATAGTAAATCGTTTCGTATTTTATCTTTAAAAACATTAAAAATAGAAAAATGTTACGTGCAGATCCATAAATAAGTAGCAAAGTAGCCATATTACGATTCTGACAATAGCTGAGGATTCAATGTTAAAGCTCGTCGTTTCCACAGACATGGAATGGTTGAATAACTTCGGACAGAGGTGGTACTCAACTAAGTAAAGAGAACCAGGAAATTGCCGTCTCTTCAACCTGCCCTCTCTTTTGTCCGTTCCTTGTGCGGTTGACAATTTCGCTACCTAAACGCGGATAACAGTGATGACATTAGAAAAAGTGATGACACTATCATTAACATTGGAAAATGGAAGCTATTATTTTCTATAAAAAAAATTTTAAATCTCTGAATAAAATTTAATATCTAATTCTTTCTAAAATAATTTATTTTCTTCTGTATAAAAAATAAAATTTTTTCTCTAAATAAAGCAAAGATACTTAAGATTATTCACCATATTTGCACAATGTATACTTTAAGATTCTAAAACGGAATTTTTTTTCGGACAAAATCACAATAAAGTAAAATATATAACATGAAAAAGACAATTTTTTTTTTAAATCTAAAAATTTAAATTGTAGATGCGGATCTAAAAATCATTTTAGGACTATCAAAATAATTACGTAAGATGATCAAATTAATTGCTAAAATATCAAAACTTTTTGCAATATTATTCATCATTTAATTCCTACGTATAATTACATATTTTAATAATTCAGCAAAATTATTTTCAAATTTTTATCTAGTTAAAAATATATAATCGAAATTGAATACTTGTTTCAAGATAATCTTTGCCTAAATTTTTCATTGAAAAAAATTCTCGTTTACTTCTTTTTATTTATGCGATGGTACTATTTGAAAAAGTAGGATTATCCTAGAAACATCAGCACGTAAAAACCAAGTTAGTTTTTGAGAAATTAATTGCCCTGAAAGGCATTAACGTCTTGCTATCTGCTACAAATTATACTTTCCTTAATGCCAAGCAGCTCCTGACGTCAGAGGTACAACTCCGCGGAGAAGTTAAATCTCTGACGTGTACGAGAGTGGCCCAATATGACTCGCGACACATTCCTGGAAAGTCCCGGCGATTACTCCGAGTCAATCTGACTCGGGTAGTCATGACGACGGCACAGTGCATTGGGGAAAAGTACGTATATCTGTTTCCGTTCGACTTCTTTCATCGTGTAAGGAGTACGGTAATAAAATAGAAGGAGAAAAAAGAGTGAAGGAGGCGGTGGCATGCGGTAGGTTAAAGAGGGAAGTCCGATCGAAGTCATTCCAAGAGTCCTGGGTAAGGCGACTGCTCTCAATGCGACTTCATCCCTCTTTTCTGTTCTTTAGGGTAGAGAGAAATAACTTTTCTCGAGCACACATTTCTTTGCGTTCTTATGCAGAGCCGTTTCAAGATTATTATCGACTCTACTCCTGCATACCAAGTGACTTAATATTTTCCGTTCAGGGGGATTTACCGCCCGATTTTATGATAAAATCTTAAATCATTGGGAAATTACACAAGCAGTAGTTCTCGTATGTTATTCAATTTTAATTGCAATTAAATTGTATAAAAGATTTCAATATTCATGTAAGTATATGTATCTACAAGACGATTAGGAAAAACGAGACAATTTAAATGTAAAAAGTTTGCTAATTATTTCTTTATATTCTTATTGACTTTTTAGGCGTAAATTTGGAACTTTTAAGATAACATTTTAGCAGCGTATTAAAAGAACAGTCTATAAAAAATGTCCTTTCTTCGACCAAAATAATTTTCGTACCAACAAGATAACGAAGTAAAAGAAACCGTGAATAGAATTCAAGCGTAGAATTTTTTTTATTTTCAATTTTCATGAGTAACCTTCGTCTACTACATTGTTGTGAAAGAACAGCTATTTTTGTTTTCAAGATTCCTTTCTAGATCACAATCAGGTTGCCTAAGATCTGTCAGCAACGCCAACAAGCATTAAGCAACAGGAAGTGTATGATTGAAAACTAGGATCATGCTTATCTGGAATAATTCAATTTACCGTCTGAATGCTTCCTTGATTTTGCACTTGTAATGAAATTACAAATGATGTCGCTTTAACGGCAGCGCCCTAATTTTGCCTTCCAGCTGCTCCTACGTCTCTCAATTTCGCGATTAATTTCTTAACGTAATGATACCGTTGCCTTGAAAGACATGAAGAACTATAAAATATGTTTCAACAACAGCTCCCTAAAGCAATAAATTAATACATCAAGTAAAATGACGAGGATAAATTTTAATTAGAGTTTGGAACACATTGTAGTAAAGTTAATTATAGCTAAATTAGTTAAGTTGTTGACGCTAGGTAATTTTTAGTAATGATCTCATTAATTTACATTATATTCATATAGTAATTTTAATTAACATGTTCCTTCTGTAATTATAAAGTAATAACACAATAACACATTCTCTTCGCGTGAAGTTAAATAAACTCCGAAATTGTAAAGCTGAAGGTTGAAAACAGATTTCTATTTAGATTATATTTAGAAAAACTAATCTTTGTTTTATTATTACAGTCTACTTATTTACCAGAGCGTCAAACGGATAATCGCACAAATAGGCAAGTAAAATTAAATTGCACTTCCTGTCATAGCCAGAGTAAAAATTAACGCGTCGACCACCTACGCACCGCTAACCGAGTGTCCAGCTGTTATCGATTGCGTATCCGTTATCGATCCTTGACCATTCGCGACGGGACGAGGCAAGCGAATCTCGATATGCGACATGATCGTGATTGGTCGAACAGTTCCTCTGGTGAACGACAAAGAGGTGGGGAGTTGCATAAAGCACGGTACAAACGCGGATGGAGCGGCAATTCGTCGTGGAACACCAGTCGTGCGCACTCCACTAGCTCGCGATATCATCTCGGACACGTGGATATCGTCGCTGTCAAGAAGGATTGCAAGAAGGAAGTAAATCACCCGATTATCGAGGTTCGCGAGGTTACTTCAAACGTGAGTCGAATATCAATTTTTCAATTTCATCTAGAAGCAAAATGCATTTCTGTTTTTCTCAAGTATTCTATAGACGTATATATTTATATATCAATGCTTATCAAATCGTCGTTGTAGAATATAAAATTTTCATTGTTATAGGCACTGTAGGTACGTACATTTGTAGTATTTTAGACAATCTTTAGAATCTTTAGAATCTAATGAAAAGAAAATTTGATTAAATAAATCGTGTCGTCTGCTACATCATATTTTCAAAGGCAATTTTTACGATAGTGTATACTTGAGTGATATAATCTATAATTATATCTCAAAAAAACTACTGTTCGAAACAACAAATAATAAATGCTTTTATCTAATTTATTTTTTCAAGAACGTTCTTGCTGTGATATTTTAATTCGCAAAATTTTGCACATCACTATAAAAAAAATTATAATTTATTTGTAAAGTTAAAATAAAAAAGAACATTGTACTTCAATAAGCGTAAAAATATTCTACAATTATATGATAGAACGTAATGCGTGATTGCATTAAAATGTATGATATTTTAAATGTATATAACAATTATTTATAAAAAATTTATAACAAAATTTCTCTATACAATAAATTCATGTTCAACGTAAGTACATTTTAGTGTATTTGATAAAAGGCTGAGTAATTTCGAAACCAAGATTGTTTAAGCTCTCAAAGGTCCTATAATTGATGCCAAGGAATGAACTTTAATAATAGCACTTGCTATAGTCTCCAAACGCGCACAAAGTATCCAAAATCAATTATTAAACTTAGTTTATAGCTTTTGTCCCAACATAGTCTGATCGAAAAGCTAGCTAAACGCATTAGCGTTAAATTAATCTGTCACGTTCTTCAAAAATGATGATTGAAGAACAGATCGAATAGTATTTTGAGATTATCTAATATTTGCGAGAACTATTTTTGGTATATTGACGTGTTATAAATAGGAATATTGCCGTCTGAATAATTGTACGAATAAGAGTAACGTTTACAGCGGGTGCTATATTTGAGATCCACATAAATTTAACGTGAATATTTTGATTGGTTTCATTCAGCGCATTTGAATACGAATTTTTTAATTTTTTTTACGAGATTTTCTTTATTCGCTTTAATATTAATATCTTATAAAAAAACCCATCAAAACCGAAAGATCAACGATCATTAAGCTATGTATATATTAATAATAAAATAATTTATTAACTTTTTTTTATCAGAATTTATTATTAATATTACAAATACAGTTTGATATCGTATTATCAAGTCTACAGTGTCGAATAAAAGTAATAAGTGAGCGATAAAAGTAATATAAAAAAAGCGATAATATAGCAATCTTATTCAATAATTAATTACCAAACAAATTAAATAACACATAAAATATTTTATTTAAAAAATGAGTGTTACTTAAAAGATGGTGTCCAGTTTGACATTTAACTTACACTATCTCTGGAATTTAAAGAAACAGGTCATGATCATGATAGATATTTCACAAAATACAGCAAAACAAACGTTTTTGTATTAAATCTTGAATTTCTAAATAAATTATGGTTTAAATACACGACGCGAGATATATAAGTTAATAAATATAAAAAAAATATTTTTTATAAATAAAATACGATAGGATCGAGTTACAACGTGTACCATCTCGTGCGTAAAATTAGTCTATCTAGCAAAACGTTACTCCAACTCAAATAAACAGATTATAATGGCTTTACGATAACCCGATCAGAAAAACAGTTCGATGATTCGTCATTATCTTTAATTACTGACGCGAAAGGCGCAGTTTCCTTTCGAGAAATATTCGCTGATATCAGTGCAAGTGGGGATTCCCTGACCGCCATGGGAGTTTCCTTTATCGCGTGAGAAACAGATCTCTACGTTTCTTCATCTTTTTTATCCTGCTTTTTCTCACGTGCCTCCAAGATGTTTCAAAGAATTTAATTATTATTCTCTAGAGTATTTAATTATTATTTTCTAAAGTATTTAATTATTTTTCTCAAGTATTCTCGTAACAAATGCAACAATATTATTCGTACTTTAATTTCATATATTTTACAGTTTTTAATAATGTTACGCTTTTGATTATCAAGCTC